CCCCCGCGTCCCGCGCTCCTCCGCGGGGCCCCGCTCAGGTTTGGGAAGCGCAGAGGGGCGAGCGGGGCCCGGGCCACCTGCGCAGGGCAGCGACCGGCGGGGCCCGCACCCCGCCAAGGAAAGCCACGCGGAGGACGCCCCCCCCAAAGGAAACTGAGGTCCGGGAGCGGACGAGACCGGCCCAAGGTCACACCGGAGGAGCGCGCGCCCCCCGGGCTGCGATCTTCCCCCGGGCCGCCCGGGTCTCAGCCCACCGCTCCCTCCCCCCCTCGACTGTGCGGTGGGACAGGGGATCCCCCAGGAAGGAACCCCGATGGGTGGGTGGGTGGATGGCAGCGCCCAGCCCCGGACCTGCGGTGGGGCCGGCAGAACCAGTCCAAAGTGAACTATGGAGCTTGGAAGGGTTGCCGTCCAGGGAGAGAACAGAACTTCTCGAAGTCTTGAGAAAAGCAGGACCTGTCTGAGCCCCAGAAGGGAGATGGCCACTCCATTCAGCAAGAGATCCTCCTCTCCAACAAGCACCCCCCCTCCTGAGAGGCCCCCTGACCCCCCCACCCCAGCGCCCCCCCCTCCTGTGAATCACTTAGAGTCAGCACATTCACACCCGCAAGTGACAGAACTGTGCACAGCTCATGTCTCAGGCCCCCAGCTCCATCCTGGAGACCAAGCTTGCCTTGGGCACCCTTGGAGAGATGATACTCCAGCCCTGGTAGCGGGTGTTAATAAGTGCAGTCTCCCAGCGTTGCTACTTCACGGAGCTAAGCCCTCTCCTGGCGGCAGATGCTGTCCAAGTCTCACTTCAGGTATTTAAAGACCCCCTGCTCTCTGCCGGGGGCTTGTGTGTCTCTCCGTGTCTTCGTCCAATCCCGATTTGTCTTGTGTCACGACGACAGTGTGGATAAGCAAGGTGTTTAGGGTCACCAAGGCAGGCAGCTCAGCCCGGATTCTGGTGAGTGACTGTGCGGTGCACACTCTGGTAATTAGTCTGTCATCTCCATCCCTAATCAGTGGGGTCCCTAGATCCTCTAACTTCCAATATTCTGGTCCAAGTCTTTTCCCTGATGATCTATAGCGGTCATGAAATCCAAACTCCAGCCAACAGGAAGAACCCATAGGGGGACTAGCTGATTACCCATCTTGACATATCCTGAATGTGGCCGGGTCCATTCTGAACCAACTGGTCAGAACTTAGTCATAAGGGCACTGCTAGCTGCAAGGGAGGCTGGCAAGCACTCCCTTTATTCCAGGCAGTCGTGGATACATCTAAGTATTACAGTGCCACCAACGGGGTCCATGCCATTAAGAAAAGAGTTTTGATCTGGTTCCTAATTCTGCTCCAACGTGAGGTTCACCAACAACTGGAGATATGGCTGGGATTACAGGTGTGTGCTATCATTTGGTGAAAGGCCTTTCTGCATGGCAGACTCACAGAGAGTTCTCAATACACTAAGCCCAGATGGCCTTGATAGTGGACACATTCTCAAACTAACCTGTTCACCCACTGATCCATTCATCGCCTGCATGAACCAGTTATGAGGGCCGAGCCCTGATCAGCAATTCAAGGTCCCACCTGGTTCTATCTCAGGGGTGAAATTTCAATGTGAGTTTGGAGGAGACAAATCATGTTTAAACCTCAACTCTCTACTAGAGGAAGACCCCAAAAAATTGCTAGCGAAAAATGGTTTCTAGGCTCTGCTCATCTGGGTAAGGGATGGGGAGGAAAGGGAGGAAGAGGAGAGGAAACTTTTGGACAGAATTGGGGCTTTCCCCCATGAATTCATCAACCCAAGAATTCCATTTATGGAACAAATATTTATTGCAAACCTGCACGTGCCAGACACGTGGCGTCCACCCGCACCTTCAGAGAGGTAGTGAGGGCTCCATCGCTGGAAGGAGAAACAGCAAGGGTATTCACAGCTCTGCCGTTTCTACTGAATGGAGCCAGGCTCTGTCATGATGGAAGATGGTGTCAGAGTTACTCCAGACACGGAAAAGGCCACTACCTCTCGGCCAGGGAGCCTTCTCTGGTTGTGAGAAGTGTGTGTGTGTGTATAATCTAGGCATTCTTAAGGGTAGCTGCCAGCCACAGATGGATCCTTGGGATAGCCTGGACTGTCCACTACAGGCTCCTAGCCATCCCTACATTCCTATAGTAGTCACCTGCTCAGTAACATACCCGAGGTGGCTTCCTTTCCAACAACAGAGGGCCGTGTTTATCCGGCTCACTCCCCAAATACAGAGAGACCACGTATCCCAATCTACATCTCCAGGGTCTGCTTCTGGGAGCATGCAGCTGAAGACAAAGGCCTAGGAGGGTCTCTAGGAGTGGAGCGGCCAGTCTGGGCATCCAGTGCCCCTGATGCCACCTCTGATCTCAGCAAACGTGGTCCCAGCTTCTCCCTCTGTCCCTCTCATGGCTCTGGGAGGAACCGATGCTGTATTTCAGCATAGCAGGGCTGTCTCTAACAAGTGCCTCTCTTGTTTTGTTTGTGTGGGTGATGGTGCCCTGCCCTGCTTGAGCCACAACATTTTTGAAGCTGTCAGAAGGTTGTGAGCGTTTGCCTCCCCAGCTTGCAAAGTAAGTAAGCTTCCAAGGTGGAAGGTTCCGTTCTTTCTCTTTTCCTTTCTTTCTTTTTATTTTTTTTTTCTTTCCAGTACTGGACTTTCCACTCAGGGCTTCCCACTTGCTAGGCTAGGCGCTCTACAGCTTGAACCCTGCCTCCAGCTCTCCTGTTCACTTATTTATTTTTGCTGGTCCTGGGGCTTGAATTCAGGGCCTGGGCTCGGTGAGAGCCTCTCTGTGCTCAAGGCTAGCACTCTACGACTTGAGCCACAGTGCCACTTCTGAGCTTTTCTGAGTACTTTATTAGAGATAAGAGTCTCATAGACATTTCTGCCTGGCCTGGCTTCAAACCACGATCCTTAGATCTCAGCCTTCTGAGTAGCTAGGATGACAGGCGTGAGCCCCTGGCGCCCGACCAGCTCTTCCTTTTTAAAATCACAATCCTAGAGGATTTCCTTTCTCACACTCTTCTCTGAGCCTGTCCCTAAGGCCATCCATTGGTTCCCTACTACCTAGGAACAAATCCTCCAGACTCACAGCTCCAAGGTGTCCTCTTGGATCCACCCCTGCTTACCTCTTACCCAGGGCCTCTGGCAAGTACCTCCTCCCACATCTCTGTTCCCACACACAGGCCTCTTCATCTGAACCATCCTTCTGCTGGAGTTCCTATTCAGGCTTCAAGATCCAGCTCAGAGAGCCTCTCTCCAGAAGACCTTTCTTCTCCTGGGCCCACCTATGACTTCAGGCTGTGGCCCTGACAACAGCCAGGGTGCTGGGAAGCACCTTTAAACACTGGATCCAGGGCCCCCTAGCTTCCTCACATTCAGAGCCTCAGGGTAGAGATGGCCCAATTTAGTCAAGGCCTCCATAACCCCTAGCTCCCGGGGGTCCTGGCTGTGGGGACACAGCGGAACTAGGCAGTGACGGCAGTGTGGCCACAGCATCGCTGAGCTCCATGGCGTGGACACCCGGCACCCCTCATCGTGGTGCTCAGGACTCTCAAAAAACAAGCACAGCAAGTCATGGCAGGGGCCAGGTTCTGTCCCTGCAGCTGTGCTCTGTCCAGGAGAGCATGTAGTAGGGGCTTTGTAACTGTGTACTGCAATTGAGGCACATCCGTGCAACCGGCTTGTGAGTGCCTGGCACACAATAGGTGCCCAAAACCACCTCAGGAGAGGGGACGAGGCACGCACTGGGCATGTGTGCTTTCTGTCGGCATGCTGCTAGCAGAACCCCTTGCTCAGGCTCCCCGGAGTAAGAGGATGGATGACTCCCTATGAGTTCAGAAGTCCTGTAGTTAAACTGTATTCGCAGTAACCATGGAGACAGAAACAACAGCTACTAATCGAAGCTTGGTGGTCTGGTCTCATCAAATATTATAGTCCAGTAGTTATTAAACCCTACCTTATGGATGGGATTCGGGAATAAAAAGTAGTTGCTTCTCAGAGCAGGCCCAGCATCCCACGCCCTGCCCCAAGCTGGTAGAGAAAGAAGCTCTTGATGGGCAAATGGATCTATAGCCCTCCCAGAGGTTCAGGGCTCCCGCCCCCTGCCCCCCAGCCCATATCAGGTGTACCTCCCAGGGGCTCCCTCCCCCACAGCAAGCATGGGGGGCTTGCTTACCTCCCTCAGGCTCAGGTTTCTCAAGGAGCCCATGTGCGGGCCCGCCAGCTTCCACAGAGTATGCTCACACATGGGACCAGGGGCAGCTGGTGTGCACCCAGGAGGGGAAGCTGCTACCAGCTGCCACCATGGGGGGGGGCAGGCTCAAAGGTAGCCACCCACCCACTCCACCTCTGTCCAAGGCAAGTCTGTTCTCCATGGGAAGATACAGTCGGGCAGGACAGCTCTTTCACTTGGATAGAGATGGGAGGAAGAAGAGGGGACAGATTCCCTAGGAAAGTCATTTGTATCCTGAAGTTCAAGGTCGAAGCCCTCTTCTGAGTGATGAGATGAAAAAAATGTCACCACCTTGTAGCCTATAGTTATAAACACACACAGGCATGTATGGATTGTAGAGTCATGGGTTCAAATCCACCTCAGGTGTTTGTAGGCTCTTCAGTGTCACTAAACCATCAATCTTCACCGACAGCCAGTGCTGGACAGGGCTCCGCACCTGGCAAAGGTGGCTGGCTTTGAGACTGGGAAGTAGCCAGGGTTACCAGGGGGAAGGGTTCCCAGGTCTGGCAGGGGATCGGCTAGATCTAGAAGGATCTATAGAACTCATGATCCATAGCATGGGTATCATGATGAGGGCCAGCATCTCTGAGCACTTGCTTGTCACTTGTGTGTCACTTCTTTACTGCTCACTAGCGCCCTCACCCGGCCTCTGGCAGAAGGCAGGGTCTTCGGCAGCCTCCCGGAGCCGGGAGAGCCCAGCTGCTGCAGCCCTTGCAGAGAGCCTGACCTGGGAAGACGCAGGCCCTTGTGGACAAGGTCTTTGACTCTCTGCCTCCTGCTTCTCTTCTCAGAGCACCATCCCTGCCCTCTGCAACTTGACCCACACAACACTGGCTTGTAAAGTGGGATTGTTTTGAATAGTCCCAGTTTTACAAATGAAAGCTGGTGATGCAGTAACAAGCCCACAACGGCTTGAGGTAGCCCAAGAGAAGTGAGATGTGAACCCACCCGAAGCCTCACTCACCCACGGACCCCACAGCCACACTGACCAGGCAGAAGGAGGATTTCACAGAGACAGGCCCTGGCCAGAGCCTGGCCTGGATGAACTCCTCCTCGAATGGCAGCTTTAGCTGGGCCAGGTCTCAGCCAGGCGGAGGTACAGCCGCCAAGGCCCAGACGAGTCAGCTCAGCGCCCCTTGCTGTGCAGGTGGCTGCTGCCTGGCACCTCAGGTCTACAAGGTCAGACTTTCTAGATCTAGCAGATCCCCGCCAGGCCTGGGAACCCTTCCCCCTTGGTAACCCTGGCTGCAACCCGTTCCCAATGCCAGCCACCTTTGCCAGGGACTGGGCCCCATCCAGCGCTGGCTGTCGGCGGGCAGGATTTACGGCCTCTTGAGCTCCGGTGATTATTGCTCTCTTGAGGGGATGCAGCACGCTCTGTCTCCACCATGTCGCAGCACCGCTTGCCAACGGGCTCCTGTGTGGACAGGAAAGTCAGTGGGAGGACACTCACCTTACGAGGAGGGACCCGAGTCCCACAGCACGAGGGGCTGGAATGTCTGAGGTCCCTTAGGAAGGTGCCGGCAGCGCTCCGGCAGTTCTGGACCAGGAGAGAAGAAACAGCGAGGTGGGAGCAGCACAGATCCCCTTCTCCTCCTCAGGACTGGAGCCTGAAATGCCTGGGACCCTCTCTCTCTTTCTTTCTGGAAGGATTAGTGTCAGGAGTAGGGAGACGTTGACAGATGTCCCAGGAAAGGCTTAGGGCTCAGCACATCCATGTGGCAGAAAGCTGCTATTGGGAGGCTGGTTTCTGTTTTTGTCCCTCTTTGACCAGGGCTGGGGCCGCAGTGGGCTGGCAGCTTCCCGGATGTCACAAACCCACCATGTATTTTACCGATGGGGGACAACCGGGAAGGTAACCAAGTCTTAGAAACGAGGTGGCCAACAGACACAGTCTCAGCATTCCGGAGCCTCAAAGGCTGAGATTACAGTGCTGACAGAGCTAGTTCCATCTGAGAATAATCCCAGTTTTACAAATAAAAGATGGTGATGCAGAGAACAGGTAAGTAACAAGCCCATAATGGCATCTTCTCCGGGAGGGATTCTCTCCTAGCTTCTGGCAGCCTGGGGTGCTCCGTGATTTGTGGGTGACATTCTCCCTGGGTCTTTGTGTTGTCTTCCCTGTGTATTCTTCAGTATCCAATTTTCCCTCTCTGTAAAACCTCCAGTTAGATTAGTTACTGTTTCCAAACCAGATTGCACTCTGGGGTACTGAGAGTTAGGACAAAATTTTGGAGGGAGACACTTTCACCCAGAAAACAAGCCAAAGCCATCTTTTCCCCCCTCCAGTCGTAGGGCTTGAATTCAGGGCCTGGGTGCTATCACTTTGAGCTACAGAACCACTTCTGGTTTTCTGGGGGTTCATTGAGGAGTCTCACAGACTTTCCTGCCTGGACTGGCTTTCAACTGCAAACCTCAGATCTCAGCCTCCTGAGCAGCTAGGATTACAGATGTGAGCCATCAGCGCCTGGCTCTTTCAGCCATCTATTTTAGTCTTTCTTGGCGCATTACGTGTGACCAGTGGAACTTGGAGGAAAGTGATGGAACCACCTCCAGGCCGGGCCCCTAAAACCTCACACGGAGCCGTCCTGGCCCTCTTCTGTGTGAGACACAGCAGATCACTAGAGGATGCCCAGCTCCAGAAGGTGGGAGGAGCCACAGGACCGACAGAAGGGGCCTTTTAACCCTTGAATGATGGTGTAGGGCAGAGCCTCCTGTGGTGGTTTGGGTTGCAGCCTGTTAAGCCACTGAAATTTGGGAACCAGCTGTCCCTGAAGTTAATGTGCCCTGCAGACCACAGCTGGCAGGATCCCCGGGCCTGTCTGAGATCAAGGCTGGCTAGCCCATGGCGACACCAAGGGGCTTTCTCCCCTGGGTCTTCCAACTCGAAGGACCACAGCATCAGAAAGGGGATTCTGGGATTCTGTGTGGCCCTGACTCAGTTGTCAAGCGAGCTGTCCCTTGCCGTCCCTCATCCCCAGGGGTCCCCACGCATCTGCCTTTTTCTCTGGAAAGGACGTGGGTTTCTGGGCAGGGGTTGCTACTGACAGCTCACACTGACCCTTCATGGAATTAAAGCTCCTGTGGGGAAAGAGAAAGTGTGACAAAGTCCATCCAGAAATCAAATGAAAAGAAGAAGAGTCCCACAGGGCCTTCTTCCCGCGTAGCTTTTGAGCTCCTCCGTCGTGGCGAGGAAACCCACTGTGACCAAAATGAGAAAGGAGCCAACATCATCCTGAGTCAGAAATGAGAGATTTCCTCACTCCAGTGTGCTAGCCCCCCCGGCCCCCACCCCGGCCAGCGGCCTTCTCCACCCAGACCCTCGCTGCTCCCCTCCAACCTGCCCAGAGAGGAAACAGGGCCAGCGAGGCACCAGAATTTTCTCTGAACAGAATGACTCTGGCTCTGGGAGTGGAGGAGGACCATCCCTGGTCTTCAGAAAGCATGGTTTACCTACAAGGCTGGGCCACTGTCTTGATCAGGGTCCCCCAAGTGGAGGAGAGATGAGCCCTCTGGGCAGGCAGGACCCCAACCTCAGGAGAATTCTCATCTCAGAGCCTCCTGGGCCCCCCTACCCTCTCCGCTGCCCACCGGCCACACACAGGAGGCACAAAATTGCCTCCTCTCAGCAGGCATTTGATGATCCACTCGCTCCCTTCTAAGTCAAAGATGTCAGGCACGAGACAGAAGAGCAGAGCACCACTGGGATCCCAGCGTGGGCTCCGTATTGTCATGCCCAGGACCCAGGAAGGCCCCAGGACGGACCCTGTGGGTGTCTCGAGACAGGAGCGCAGCCCTGAGAGTGTTCCCAGCCCTTCCCCAGTCCCATCCGGCTTGTGGCGTCATCTCCCGCCATGACTGAAGGCTGGCCTGTGGCTGTGGGGAGGCTCCAGGCCTCACTCTGTTGTACTGGGCTGACCGCTGTGCTGCCTCCTCTGGACCTGTGCCACTGCCCAGGAGCGGTCATTTCCCAGGGATGTCATCTACCTTGCCCTCTCTCCTCACGAGGCTAGCTCAAGAATCATTTCCTTCCCTGGCCTAAAAGCCCTCACTCCCAGTATACGCGAGTTCTGATTTCTGGGTCATTTGCCAAATGGGATGGCAAACAGAGCTGATGAGCAGCCACAGCACCTAATGGCTCAGATGTCCGATGCCACCACCCGGGGCTCCCTGGGGAGCCCTGCAGGGGAGCTGGCCCACAGAATTACCTCCAAATAGGGCAGTGAAAAACTGCCCTATTTGGGGAAGTGAAAAACTCACAAACACATCTGTAAACTGTTAGCTTTCTTGTTGCTGTGACAAAACACACTTTAGGGAGGAGGGGGGGAAGGGAAGAAGGGAGAGGGAGAGAGGGAGGGAAGGAGCAAGGAGAGGAATAGGGAAAGGGAGAGGGGGAGGGAGACCAAGCAAAGACCAGTCAGGCCCTACCTCTTAAAGTTTCTAGAACTTCCCAAAACATTACCACCAGCTGGAGGCCAAGTCCTCAACAGCACAAGCCTGTTGGGAATGCTTCACGTTCAAGCTATAATTATGTCTCGGAGAGAATGGCGGAATCTGATGATGAGGGAGGGGCTGGAGGTCCCTGGAGGGAGGCTGGGACACTGAGGGAGGCTTTGTCAGTACCAGTTTGGCGGGTCTTGATTATGGCCATTGCCAAAGCCTGGGACCACCATAGCTTGGGGAAGATTATCTAAACCAAGAAATGAGTCCCCAGTACTGAATTATACAATCAGGACAAGGACCCTAAAATAGGATGTGGAAGATCTGGCTTCTTCTCATTCAGGGGTCGGAGGTGGCTGAGTGTTCTCTGAAGGTGCCTTCAAGGTTGGATCATGCTTATGAAAAGTCAGACCACTGGCCAACGGGCAAAGTACAAGGCAATTGTTACCATCAGGGACAATAGCAGTGAAGTGCTGAGTGCTGAGTGATCTCAGGAGATGCCCGCTGCCCTCTGCAGACCCCTCAGCCTGCCCGGATCTCTGCCATCCTGGTGGCAGGAGACAAGAGGAGCAAGCTCTGTGTGTACAGCCCTGCCATCTTCCACCTCCTGCCTGGCTCTTGGCACTGTCCTGGCCCCTGTGCCCAGGAAGCTGCAGCAGGCAGCAGACCTTAATAACTGCTACACCGCTGCCAGCTTTGCCAAGACTATCTTTGATGCCACATCGACCTCTGGGAAGACAGTGTCTCGTACCAGAGTACTCAGAAGTGTCTACCACGTGGTACCATTACACAAGAAAAAACAGGGAACGAAATCCCATGTCATGCACACTAAGAAAGCCCAACTGTATCAATCACTAAGAAGCAAGCTTGCCATCTGCCAGTGTGGCTTAGGACCAAGGCCCTGGTCACAGGGGGAGAAAGCCTGAGTTCTCATTCTGGTTCTCATTGAGAATCTCCCTGGTCCTTCGAGCAGGTGGTCTTCGTTTTGGGATAATTAGTGCATGTGCAAAGAGCTTTGGAATGGTCCCGCCAGGCCCACCACATTTGCAGGCCCACGTTTGCACCTTTGCAGCTTTTCTTCCTAGCTGCGCCCCTCAAATATCCTGTGCTGCAGACAAACTAAACTCTCTCCCAGCCTGCCTTTGCTGCTGTTCCTTCTCCATGATGCTCTTCCCCTTACTTCCTTTGATCAGATCCCTTCCATCCTTCATGGCTCAGCTTCTCCTTTCCCAAGGGAGAGTCCAGTCTCCTTGCCTCTGCACTAGCCCAGTACCCCATCTCTGGGGCAAAACCCAGCTTCCTGGCTCAGGTGGTGACTTCTCTGCAGAGCTGTGGTTCTCGGGCTCCGGGACCCTCCCCATCTCTCCCAAGGGCTGGTACAGAGCTGATGTGTGCAAGAGGCGCACGACCCCATCGTGTGGACTCGCGATGAATCGGAGGCCATCTCCAAAGGTGATCAATGTTTTTGGAGCCTGGAGGCAGAAGATGAGTAGCCAGGCTCCCGGGATCAGGTCTATAAACATCTTTTGACAGAAAAGCCCAACTTCAAAGCCTAGCAATTTTAGATTATATTTGCATTGAAGGCTTTTTAAGTAGCAAAACTTTAGATTTATGTCTTCATGAACAGATGTGGAAGGGAAAATCAATTCCTCATAGGATTGGCTTATTTGTTGTGGGTTTTTTTTTAATCGCGGTGCTAAATATTATGCAGCAAGTGACAAATTAATACATAAATTGACCTCGAGACATCTACGTCACAGGCTGGATGCAGAGGATGGAGTGGGGTGCGGCCCGGGCTCCTTGGGGCTGGGCAGGGCTGACACCTGCACATCACCTGGCAGTCGAGTCTCAGAGATGCTGGGGGCTGGGACGACTCTAATCGAGGGTTGGGGGAATGCAGGCGAGGGGAGAGGCTCACACGCAGCACCCAGGGGGATGTGTGACACGTAGGGCTGGAGACGCTGTCTTGCAGCATGGGCCCCAGAACTTTCCAGGGCTGATGGGCAGGTGGGCATGGGAGGCAGGGGTAGAAGCAGGGTCTAGCAAACACATTTCCCTGTCCATTTCCCGGGCCCACTGGGCCTCCACCCAGGGTTCTGTGGGCAGAGGAGAGGCCTGGGGAGAACGTGGGCTCCAGACCCAGCAGAGACGGGCACCGCGGACTGCTGGCAGTGGCAGTTGGTGCTTTCGGAGGAAGCAGATGCGGCAGAAAGAGCAAGTCCGTTCTCGAAAAAAAAAATTCCACAAGCATGGAAAAAAACGAAAAGAGACTGCTTCCCCAAGAGAGGAGATGACACAGCTGAGAGACAAAGCTGAAGCAGTCTTGCTTAAACACCATCCGGCGAGCTTCCCGCTGGAGAGGGGGAGGAGAGACAGAGAGGACAGTCAGACAGATCGACAGGAGAGACAGACAGATGGGGAGGGAGAGACAGACAGATGGAGAGAGAGAGACAGAGAGACAAGTACCTTTTCTATTTGTCAACCTGTGTTTCCGGTTTTATCGTGACAGGACACTGGACATTCATTCGGGGGACAATAGGAGATGAATAATGGGGAAGAGCGGGCTTGCATAATCAGGAAGACATTCATGGAAACCACAAATGATGGGTGCCCTTTTCCCTGGTCACCTGTCAGAAAATGCTGGGCTGCCAGAGACAGAAATGCCCGTGGACTCACACTGGGAGACAGGAAGAAAGCCCCCCACCCGCTTTCACAGACACAAGGCCGGAGAAAAGCCTAGAAGGGGCCAGGAAAGTAGAGGTTCAAGCATTGAATGTTGGGCACCAGGTCAAATGAGGATTCTTGGCTGGAAATCAATTCATTCATTCATCAGTCCCATTCCACGAGAGAATGGGTGCAGCAGCCAGGCAGCCGCTGCCCTGTTCCATAAAACCCAGTGACCCCCCCCCCCTCTCCCCTCACACACCAGGCCAGGGGATCTCACTGGTCCTAGAGGGACGGGAGCCGGAGCCCCTCCCTGCCTCCCAAGCAACTTTCAGGGAGAATGAAATGGTCCTAAGGTAATCTGTAAACCAACAGATTCTGGAAGGAATTCATATTGATTTGGGAGTAGATGAAGAACCTTTTCTTTCCTTGAACGCTACTCCAAAGGGTTGACAGTCATCACGGAAGACAATGATGTCAGCTGAGACTTGGTGTTGCAGGGCGGGGCCCAATGCCGGAGGACAGAGGTAAGCCAGCAGCTTTCTCCAGGTACACAGGTGATTTCTCCTAAGGTAAAGCGCAGCTCTCGCGTTCCAAAATTCAGAAGTGATTTAGCAGTCAAGAACGGAGGCTTCCAGATTTTAGTTGTCTTTGTTGATTCCTGGAAGTGGCCCGCTGGCTCAAGTGGTAGAGCACTTGAGCTGAAGAGCTGAGGGTCAGCGCCCAAGCCCAGAGTTCAAGCCCCACAACCACCACCAACAACAACAAAAATTTATTCCTGTAACTCAGCTCAGTCCGGGGTCTCCATGGAGCAGAGACTTCCCTTTCTTTCTAGCCTCTCAGTAGAAACAGAATTCACATGTCCCTCAGACCTCTTTTTTGTCACTTCAGGCATTCTGGAAAGTTCCCTGCATTTCAGAGATATGGAGTCTGTAAACAGATGTCACAAATAATTCTCTCTCTCTCTCTCTCTCTCTCTCTCTCTCTCTTTTGTCGGTCATGGGGCTTGAACTCGGCCTGAGCACTGTCCCTGCTCTTCAGCTCAAGGCAAGCGCTCTACCAGTTGAGCCACAGCACCACTTCCACAAATAATTCTCAATTAAGTTGTTAAGGATCTCTGGGAAGGATATAAAAGCGCAAGCAAAGGAACATATGGAGAAAGGAAGACAAGAGGGTGTTCCGTACAAAGATTCCCTCTTTCTCCCCCCCCCCAACCATGGGCTCTCGGCAGGACCGTTCTCACCCACAGCTTGCTCCAGCCTCTTCCCTGTCTTGACTGCCACCTCCGCCTCCCACAGAAGCCACAGCTAAGGGCTCCTTCCAGGAATCCTACACACAAATCCCTATCTCTCTATCTGTTTCTAGACAGCTAAGACAGGAAGGAAGGGGAATGTTCAGCGATTTTAATGGTCAAGTGTGGACGTGTGTTTTTGTTTGGGCAGGCCAGGATTACAATGCTTCTGTTTATCCCCCTCTGTAGCTGAGATGACAGGTGTGCACCCCTGTGCCCAGGGTATTTGTTGAGATGAGGAATCTCAACAAATCTCATTAGCTCTATGGCCAGGTGGTCTTAAACTGTCCTCTTCTGGATCTCCAAATTCCTAGTAGCTGGGATTACAGACAAGAGCCACTGCACTGGCCTGAACATAAAACTTAAATTTCACATATATGAGGACTGATGTTCTAAGGTCATGTGAACATGACAGGCACACGGCACTTTGATCACAAGAGCCCACATGGAAACCTCAATTTGATCAAGTCATCACCTCCTGGACAAGGCAATCTGGGCAACAGTTCAACTGGAGGACAGGGCATTTTAGGCACGTGGACAGGGCACTTTGATCACGTGATCACCACGTGGACAGGGATTTTGGATCACGTGATCGGCACGTGAGCAGGGCTTTTTAGGCACGTGGACAGGGCTTTTGGATCACGTGATCGGCACGTGAGCAGGGCTTTTTAGACACGAGGACAGGGCACTTTGGTCATGTGATCACCACATGGACAGGGCATTTGGATCACGTAATCAGCACGTGGACAGGGCTTTTTAGGCACGTGCCAGGGCACTTTGTTCACGTGATTGCCATGTGGACAGGGCATTTTGATCACGTGATCAGCGCGTGGACACGGCATTTGGGTCACGTGATCAGCATGTGCTAGGGCTATTTAGGCACATGGAGAGGGCACTTTGATCACGTGATCACCACGTGGACAGGGCACTTTGATCACATGATCGCCACATGGAGAGGGCACTTTGATCATGTGATCGCCACATGGAGAGGGCATTTGGGTCACCTGATCAGCACGCAGACAGGGCTTTTTAGGCACGTGGACAGGGCATTTGGATCACATGATCAGCACGTGGACAGGGCATTTGGATCACATGATCAGCACGTGGGTAGGGCTTTTTAGGCATTGGACAGGGCACTATGATCATGTGATCGCCATGTGGACAGGGTATTTTGATCATGTGATCAGCTCGTGGACAGGGCACTTCGATCACGTGATCGCCACATCGACAGGGCATTTGGATCACATGATCAGCACGTGGAATTCTTTTTTTCTTTTTTTTTTGTCTGGTCATGGGGCCTGAACTCTGGGCCTGGACTCTGTCCCTCAGCTCTTCAGCTCAAGGTTAGCGCTCTACCACTTGAGCCACAGCGCCACTTCCGGCTTTTTTTTCTTTTTTGCTTATGTGTGCTGAGAAATTGAACCCAGGGCCTCATGCATGCAAGGCAAGCACTCTACCACTGAGCCACCTTCCCAGCCCCCAACTGGAATTCTTAAAGTGTGGCTTCTCTCTCTTGCTGATCAAATTCCAGTATAACAACTGTATGACGGCACTTTTTGTTCATCTGGACCCTTGTAGCCGATCCATTTCTACATCTGCAAACTTGGCATGAACATAGTTTGCATGAAGCTGACTGGCCCCTAGCTGGGAGATGAGTGGACAGAGGAACAAAGACATCTACAGTGTTGAGAGGCACCAAGAAGAGTGGGGCCAATCGTGGGCCTCCAGGACTGGCAGGAATAAAAGGCAGGATTCTGGGGTCAGCTGTGTAGCTGACAGAGGTTGGGAAGGGACAAATTTAATGACCATTCTGAAGGAGGCAGAGTTCTACAGTGGGAATATTTAATCGTTCATCCTCGTTTGTATTTGTCTAGATGAAAATAATCATTGAAAAGGAGTGTGTGTTGAGCGCTTTCCATATGACAGGTCATTGTCTAATTAGACCTTTACAATGACCGACCCCATGACGTGCCCTAACATTTTCCCCATTTTATAGGAAAGGAAACTGAGGCTCAAAGATATGTTGTGGTCTGCTTAAGGCTAGGTAGGTGTAATATGGATGCTGGTGCCATCTTGGCAGATGATAGGGACTTTCTGAAACCCCACCCCACCCTCAGGTGATGGGTGTGCCTGAATTCCAAGAAGCTGGGTGGGGACTCGGACTTGTCAGACCCTTACTGTTGACTTTGAACTCCCCACCCCTTGACCATGACCCTGTTTAGACCCCTGGACCTTGGCTGCCATTTTGTGTCTTGCGTTATGTCTCCTGACTTCCTCAGGTCACCACGGTGTCCCTCTTCAGCTCTCCAATAATGTCGATCTGGTTTATTGAAGTTGTTTTTCTGCTCTTTCTTTACCACCCTCATGTCTCAGTTTCCTAACAGTATTGAGTGCATTCGAGGCTGCAAGTTTTGGAGGAACATGAGTCCACTCACAGTGGCCGGCTTTATAATGAAGACTCCCAATTGAACCCTTCAATATGTGGCTTCTCTGTATCTCACAATCCAATTCCGATATAACATTAACCAAGGAAGCTCAGATAAGAAATCTGGTTTTCCTGATTCACACATCCTGATTGCTTTTTTTCCTCTGGAGTTCAATCTAAAATGGGTATAGGAGGCTAAACATGAGTTTAGTGACAGGGTGCTTGCCGAGCATGTACAAGGTCCTGGGTTCAATTCTTGGCATGGGTGAAAAATAGATACAAATAAAATGGGAACCTCTTCACATTTTAATAGACTAAAATAAGGAACAGAATAAGATAGAATAAAATAAAATGGAAACTTCCTCTCGCTTTAACGAAATAAAATAAATACACGTTTCTTCAGCCCTACTTGTGTGTGGCCTGTATGTAGTGCGTGAGGGCTCCTTCAAGTACAGACCACAGTGGGATGTGGCCACATCTCTAGCGAATGGGTCCAAATGGCCTTAAGAACAGCAGCAGAAGGCTATTTGTGTGACAGTTCCTGTGGTTAACCCAGGGCAGCCGTGGCTTCCTCCATTCTCAAGCGGTCACATCG